CGCTCGTTCGTTCGTTCTCTGGGATTTGTGAATGGGCTCGTTTTTGCTTGTTATTTTTTCGGTATTTTGTGTGCGTTCGTGTTTTATGAGAGTATATAGGTATTTGTATGGATACACGCACGCACCGCACGTGTATGCATATGCATATACAAAGACGCATGCATATTCATAAACACGCTTATACACATACTCATAAACACACCACACACACATCACAAACAAACACACACAAACACACACACACTCACAACACACACAGAGCACACACATATACAGAAACAAACACACACAACACACACACACATACCACAAACACAAGCACACGTACGCAGACTATTCTTTTCTGTCTCTCTCCTCTCCATTATTTCTCTTTCCCCCCTCTCTTCCTTCCCCTCCCCCTTCGCCCCCCAAAAGCCCCCATCCTCTCGGCATAGTCATTGCGTTAATCCTCCAACCCCCCTTTTCGATTTCCTCTCTCCCTCTCCCACTCCCTCCCCCTCTCCCACTTCCTCTGACTCTCCCTCTCCCTCCCGCTCTCTTCATCCTTTCCCTCCCTCTCCTTCTCCCTCACCCTTTCCCTCTTCTTCCCCATCTCCTTCCCCTCTCCCTCTCCTCCCTTCTCTTCTCTCTCCCTCTTCCTCTACTCCCCCTCCTCCCTCCATCCTCCCCCTCCCCTTTTCCCTTCCCCACCCTTTCCCTCCCCTTTCTCCCCTCCCTCCTTTCCTCACCCTCTCCCTCTCTTCCTACCTCCCCCTCTACCTCCCCCTCTCCCTCCCTCCCTCCCCATCCCTCCCCTCTCCCTCTCCCTCCTCCCTCTCTCTTACTAATCCCCTTGATTCCCTATTTCCATCTACCACTTGATAGTTATTATAGAAAGTTTTATTGTTTGGTGCATTGCTTCCGTCGTTGTGTTTGTTCCTTTGTTGATTCATTTGCTTCATTTCTTATTAATGTCCTTCGCTCTTTATTTTATTTTATTATATTTTTTTTATTAAGGTGAAAGTTCTATGGGACAATTATTTATCATAGGAGTAGGTATTGGTATATAAAAAGGGTGATAGTGATTATAATGAAAATAGTTGTTAATATGATAATGATATTAGCAATGATGATAATTACAATAATGTTATGTAATGATATTAATGATGATGGTTATGATGATAGTGATAATAATAATGATTATTCAGATAATAAATAATGCATAGAGATAAAATAAAGATAGAGAGAGAGAGAAGAGAGAGAGAGAGAGAGAGAGAGAGAGAGAGAGAGAGAGAGAGAGAGAGAGAGAGAGAGAGAGAAGAGAGCCAGCCAGTCAGACAGACGTACAGATAGACACAGCAGAGAAACCAGAAACAGAGATAGAGAGAGAGAGAGAGAGAGAGAGAGAGAGAGCGAGAGAGAGGCCTACAACACCCAATCGATTCCTCATTGGAATTCCTTGCTCGCCACCACTCGTGTGTGGGTGGGGGTGGGTGGGGGTGGGGGAGGGGGGCTGTAGGGATGGCATGGCTAATACTAAGGGAAAGAGGATGGGAAGGGGGGAGGGGGGAAGGCTGAGGGGGAGAGGGTGAAATAGGGATAGGAGGGAGAGGAAGATGAGAAGAGTGAGGAGAGGAATAGGAGGAGAAAAGGAAGAAGATTGAGAAGGGAGAAGGGAGATGAAAATGGGATTGGGAAGGGTAGGAAGAAGGGGAAAAAGGGAAAAGAGGGGATAGGAAGGGGAGGAAAAGAGTAAAAGGAGAAAGAAAGAATGAAGGGAAATGAAGAGAAGCGAAAAATAAAGAGGATAAGGAGAATACATAGAAAGAAACAGATTAAAATGAGATAATGAAGAAGAAGAAAAAGACGAATAGGAAAAAGAGACGAAAAAATAAGAGAAAAACAGAAAAAGGGGAGGCAAAGAAGCGAAGAGGAATGAAAAAGAAAGAAAGAGAGAGAAAAAGAGAAAGGAGAAAGGCAAAAGAGGGGGAAACTCAGTAGCTCATTAAGGGGTCGGTACATCCCGTATTTTTCGCCATAGGAAGTGGGGGCTCATGGGCAGAGGGGTGGGGGGTGGGGGGTTGGGGAGAGGGGGGTACCAACGACGCGGCTCCCTGGTATGTATCATCTAATCACCCCTGAAGCTCTCTTGTCATTCTTATCATTAATATCTTTGAGGTGGAAGCTCCGGAGGTATTTCTGCGCTTCGTTGTATAGGATTTTTATTACTAGTGTTGGTTTGTGTATGTGATATTCTATACGTTGTGTTACTGTATAATATATATGTATATATATATATTTATTTATATATATATATATATCTATATATATATATATTTTATTTTATTATATATGTTTTTTTTTTTTTTTTTTTTTTTTTTTTTTTTTTAAAAATATGTCTCTCTCTCTCTCTCTTCTCTCTCTCTCTCTCTCTCTCTCATCTCTCTCGTCTCTCTCGTCTCTCGTCTTCTTCTCTCTCTCTCTCTCTCCTCTCTTTCCTCTCTTCTTTCCTCGTCTCCCTCCCTCTCGCCTCCCCTTCTCTTCTGTTATCTCTTCTTTTTTTCTCTCTCTGTTTCTTCCTCTTTTTCTTTTTTTTTTTCTTTTTTTTATTACTCTCTCTGTCTCCTTCTTTTCTCTCTCTCCTTTCCGTTCTCGGTTCTCGCTTCTTTCCTTCTTTATTCTATTCTTCTCTATCTTCTTTCTCTTTTTCTTTTTTCTTCTCTTTTTCTTCTCTGTCTTCTTCTCTTTTTTCTACTCTTTGTTTCTTCTTCATCTTGCTCTTTCTTCTTTCATCTGCGCTCTTCTCTTCTATTTTCCTTCTTTTTCCTCTTTTTTTTTTCTTTTTGCCTATGTGCCTCTTTCCCCTCCTTCCCCTCCGCTCTCTCTTTCTCTCTCTCTCTCTTTAACATCCTGATATCATTAGTTTTATTTTGTTTTATGATCCCGCAGTACACACATAAGTAATAAAATGCTAATGCTTAATTACAATCGTTTGATAGGAACAAGGGGCAATAGAATTACAGAAAAAGCGGGAAGTAAGCTGTAGGAAAGGAGAAATAGATTGAAAAATATGCAATAATTGTATCAGGCAGGGGCGAGGGAAGGAGACGAGGAGGGAGAGGAGAAAGTAACTAATTGATGAAGTAATAATGAGATAGTTATGGTAGCGATTATTAACCATTAGTGACGATGCTGATCGTATGTTCGATGATGTGTTGGATTGGTAAATTGTGGTGTGTGGGATGGTTTCGGTATAGTATGGTGATTGATAATATGATGATGATGGTTTTTGAATGAATGAGGCAGTGTTTGATGCTTTTGCTGTGGCTAGTCTGTCTCTGTCTGGTGGAATGATGGATGATTGAGATTGGAAAATTAATGTGATTCAGTACGATGATGATCGATTGAATGATTTGATAAGTGTGATCGTGTGATTGATGATATTTTGTTACTGGCTGGATGATTGATATGATAATATGATGATGTACGCTTGAAAAATGCTGCTTGTCTGCTTGATTTTAGTTTTTTTTTTGAATTTAAATGATGATTATAGAACTACATGTCATCTCTCCTCACCTAGTGGGTGCTGGCTCGCGCCTGTATGAGGTGGGCTGGTGTGTGTGTGTGTCTGGTTGTGTGTCTGTGTGGTGTCTGTGTGGTGTGTGTGTGTGGTGTTTGTTGGTGTGTGTTTTGTGTGTGTGTTGTGTGCTCGCTCGTCACGCTGGCCTGCGTTGTAGTGTGTCGCGCTCCGTGTGTTCGTCCTTGGATGCGGCTCCGCGGAAGTTTTCTCAATGGCTTGTTATTTATCCCGTCCTCTCCGGCACGCTGGAAATAACAAAGGAATGCCAGCGATTCAGGAGGAAGAAGGAGTCTCTTTCTCTCCTCTTTTTATTCACCCCCTTTTCTTATTATTTTATTCTCCTCTTTCTTTATTTCTCTTGGTTTTCTTTCCGTTTTTTTTTTTTTTTTTTTTTTTTTTTTTTGTCTTTAGCCATTGCTTTCTTTCTTTATTAATTTGTCTCTCATTTCCTCTTTTCTCGCAGATTGTTTCTCTTCCTCCCTACTTACTCATTCTCTATCCTTTTTTCTTTTTTTTTTTGTATCTTCGCACTTCTTTCCACTCTCTATACTCATGTTCCGCCTTCGTCTCCTTTTCTCGCTTCCCCTTTTCCTATCTCTCGTCTTCTCTTTATATCTCTGCTTTCATTCTCTCCGGTCTCTTCAGATCTCCTGTCCTCTTCTACTCTTCTCCCTTCCCTTCCTGCCATGCTTCGTTTCCTTTTCTCCCTCGTCACGGGTTTTGGCTGGCTCTGCCGTTGCTGCTTTTGGTTTGGCTTTCCTGGTGTTCTGACTTCGATTCGCCCTCTTATATTCTTCGCCTTGCCCGATCCCTCTTTTTCCGCTTTCTTAGGTCGGCCGCCTTTGTCTCCTATCTCCCTTCGTCTTTCATCTCTTCTTCGTGTCCCTTCTTCTCCTCTCTTCGCTTTCTATCCCTGACCTCCTTTCGCTCCCATCTCACGTCTTCTCCCTCTCACCCTTGCTTTTTCTGCTCCTCGCCTTGTTCAGGCGTTGGCCTCCGTCTCTCTCTCCTTTCTCCTCTTTTTCTCCCTCTTCCCTCCTCCGCTTTCGGTTTTTCTCCTGGCTCCCTTTCTTTGTTCTCTCCCCTCCTCCTTCCCCTCCTCTTTTGTCCCGCCCGTTTTCGCTCTCTGCGTTCCTTCCCCTTCCCCTTCCCCCCTTTCCTTCCTCCCCTTCTTTTCTCTTCCCTCTCTCCCTTCGGCACCTTTTTGGCTCCTCCCACCTCCTCTACCTTTCCTCTAATCCTCTTTTTTCTTTTTTTTTCGTTTTTTGTTTATTTTTTTGTTTTTTTTTTTTTCCTTCTTCCTTTCCTCCCTCCTCCCCTTCTTTTTCTCTCTCCCTCTCTTTGTTTCTCTTCTCCCACTCTTTTGTTTGTGGTTCTGGCTTGGTTGGTGGTAGGAGCGGGGTCATCTGGTTGCCGTCTTGGATCTGGGATTTTCTGCTACAGGTTGGTGCTTGTGAGGTGCGCGGGCTGGTTAGGTTCGTCTTGTGTCAGGATCTTCGGCGGCTTGTCATCCATTTTTGTATGTTTTGTTGGGTGTGTGTGTTTGGTGTGTGTGTTGTGTGTGTGTGTGTGTGGAGGGGCGAGGGGAGGGGGCCGGACGCGGGGGGCGGGGTGTCCTGTATGCTCTATTTTGTCGTGGTGTCCCAGCAGCCACTAAGGCTTACTTGCATTGAGATGAATATAGTTATTTAAAAGATCTATTTTCTGTCTTACAAATTGTCGAAGCTTCTGTATAAACGATTCTCCCATCGCTTATTCTCTCATGCACGCGCTTTCCGTCTGTCTCGTATTCTCGTCTCCTTCCTCCCTCGCCTTCCCTCCTTTTTCTCGGCTCTCATTCTCTCCTGACGACTTCCTCTCATTTTTGATCTCTCCTTCCTCCTCTTCTTATGCCGATCCTCCCCTCAGCTTTTCTCTCTCTCCTACTAGATATTGCCGCCCTCTCGGCCTCGACTTTCTATCTCTTCCTCATACGAGGCATCAATCGACCCGCTTTATCTCCCTTCCCCGCGACTTGTTGTATGTTCCCCTATTTGTGCGTCATACCTCGATCTTCTTTTGCTCTCCTTGCCACGAAACCTTATGTCGTACTCGCTTCCTGTTCTCTCTATCCGTCATCCACTAAGCGCTATTCCTCGCCTTCTCCTCCATTGATTCTGCATAACCTAACCACCTTGTTCCATCCCTTGCCACATATACTCTTGTTTATCTTACTCCTTGCGATACTTTCATGCTCAACTACCCCTACTGTCATTCTTTTGCTCTCGCCCCTCCCTCTCCTCCTTTTCTCTCCTCCGAGCAGTAAATAATAGAATGAATTGTAATTATATTTAATGATTATAATTTCAATAAGCGATTCACATAATCCGTTCCCCTTTGACTGCTTAGCCGTCCCCCCATTCCTGCCCTCCGCTATCCTTTCTCTACAGTCTTGACCTCTTGGCATATTCCTCCCGATTATTACCACTTTTTTTTCTCCCGGTCTCTTTTCTCTCCGCTCTCCCCATGTCAGCTTAGCTCAGCTCCTCCGAGGCAACCTATGTCATTTTATCATTTAGATCAGATCCGATATATTCAGTCATTCGGAGAAGAGATTCGGGCTTTCGATTATTTTAATTGGTACGGGATAAGGCTTGGTCTTTATTGGAAGTTTTCCCCTGGTCTATTATTCGTTCCCCCCCCCCCCTTTCTTCGGTCTTAACCGATCCCCTACCCCCCTTCTCTTCGCCCTCTTCCTTTTACGCTCCTTTTTTTTCTTTTTCTTCTTCGTTAGGGTTTCTGGCACTTATTTCATCTTCTAGGATATTATTGCCTATTGTGTTTGTTTCTCTTTTTTATTTCTTCTTATTGTTCATATTCTTTCGTCTCTTTAGTTTTCTCTCTTTTCTTTTACGTCGTTGCCTCTACTTTTTTTTTCTTCTCACTTCTTCTCTTTGTTTTCTTTTCCTTCTTATGCCTCTTCCTTTCCTTCTCTTCTCCTTCGTCTTACTCCTTAACTTTCTTTTTCTTCTCTTTCTGCCTTCTCCTCTGCTTGTCTCCCTTCTTCTATCTCTTTTCCTCCTATTTTTCTCCTCCCTTCTCCTCTTCCTCCTTATTCTTATCTCTTCCCTCTTTTTCTCCCTCCCCTTTTCCTCCTTTGTCTCCTCCTCCATTTTTCCGCCTTCTCCTTATACTTGCCTTCTCCTTTTTCTCCTGCTTCTCCTCTCTTTCCTTATTCCTTTTTCCTCTTCCTCTTCTTTTGCCTTCCTCTTTCCCTCCTCCTCTTTTTCTTTCTCCTCTTTTCTGCATTCTCCTTTTCCTCCGCTTCCTCTTTTTCCTTCTCTTTCTTTTTTCCTCCTCCTCTCCTTTCCTCTTCCTCCTTATCCTTGTTCTCCTCCTCCTCTTTTTTCATCCACTCCCTCCTCTTTTTCCTCCTCCTCCTCTTTTTTCCTCCTCCTCCTCCTCTTTTTTCCTCCTCCTCCTCCTCTTTTTTCCTCCTCCTCCTTTTTTCATCATCCTCCTCCTCCTCTTTTTTCCTTCCTCCTCCTCCTCTTTTTTCCTCCTCCTCCTCCTCTTTTATCCTCCTCCTCCTCCTCCCCTGTTCTCTCCCCAGAGGTCCTGGATAAAGAGAGATTATTCCCCCGTAATTATATTTGCGGTCAAAAGATGATTCATTTATTTGGCGCACTAAAACATTTTTTTTCTGTTATTTTCTTTTTTATCATTTATTTATTTTTGTGTGTGTTCTTGATTCCATAAGAATGTGATTTATTTAATGTCAAGAATAACAGAATGTCATGTCATGTTCACCAATGTCATGTCATGTTCACCAAAAATGCGTTTATGTCAAGAAGGCGTTTGTTGATAAGTGTAATTACTTCGTATGTGTAAAGAGGGTAACTGTTGTCCTTCTTCCATCTTCTTATTTTCTCTCTTTAGTTCTCTTGTTCTTTCTTCTATTTTCTTTTATTCTTTGGTACTTAATCTTTCTCTGTTGTTCTTAACTTCCTTTTTGTTTCCCTGTCTCTCTTATTATACTGTTTACCATCTTTCTCTTTCATTTATACGTATTTCCTCTCTCTCTCTCTCTTCCCAGCCCTCTTACTCGTTATCCCTTTCTCCCCCCCCCTCCTCCTCCTCCTCTTTCTCTCAATCTCTCTCACACTCTCTCTCTCTCCCTGCAGTTGCGCCGATAATATCCCCTAATTAAGCCACTCACAGGCATTCGAACGAAACCAATTTTTGCGGGAAATGGCTCCGTCACGACCCCAATGGAATAATTCATATGGCGGCACAGCGGTGGCTTTGTCGTCGTCCGATTCCTTCACCGGGTTGATTGGCATCGTCTTCGTCACGAACATCGACACGAATCGAAAGACTGAAGCACATATGACAGGGTGACAGGGTTTTAAGCGAGATAGTGAGCGAAAGAAGGGATATGGAGGTAGGGTTTTTGGTGGGAGGGGGTAGGGGTAGGAGGCAGGGTATGGGCGAGAGGGGATAGTAGGGTAGTAAGGTCGTAGACGAGAGGGAGGCAGGGTCGTGGGTGAGCGAGGATGGTAGGGAACCAAGGTCGTAGATAAGAGAGGACGGCAGGATAGCACGATCGTAGAAGAGATAAGATAAAAGGGAGGTAAGGTCAAAGACAAGAAAATATGACATAGAGGGACAGGGACGTAAGACGAGAAAGGATGACAAGGTAACAGAGAAGCGAGAATATAGCATCGAAGTAAGGTCGTGTGTAAAACAGGATGACAGGGAGATGGGTTCGTAGACAAAAGAGGATGGGAAGATGGAAAAATTATATACTAGAGAGGATGACAGTGTCGCAGGGTCGTAGTCGAGAGAGGATTGCAAAATTGCAGGGGAACGGGGTAGTGTACAAAGAGGATGGCAAGATGGCAGGGTCCTCGTCGAGAGAGGATAGCAAGGTGGCAGGGGGACGTGGTAGTGTACAGAGAGGGTGGCAAGGTGGCAGGGGGACGGGGTCGTCGACAAGAGAAGATGGCAGTGTGGCAAGGTCGTCGACGAGAGAGGATAGCAAGGTGGCAGAGGTTCGTATACAACAAGTGGCATCAGGATGAAGGTGGCAAGGTCGTTGACGAGAGAGGATAGCAAGGTGGCAGAGTTTCGTATACAAAAGAGGTTGACAAGGTGGCAGAGTCGTCGACGAGAGAGGATGGCAGGGTGACAGGGTGACATGATGACAGGGTAGCAGGGTCGTCGACGAGAGAGGGAGGGATGGTAACAGGATGGGAAGCTGGCAGGGTCATCGACGAGAGAGCAAGAGAAAATGGCAGGGTAACAGGATGACAAATTGACAAGGTCATCGACAAAAGAGGACGGCAGGGTGACAGGGCCATCGACGAAAAGGATATAGGGTGGATGACAGTTGACAAGGTCATCGACAAGAGAGGGTGGCAAGGTAACAGGATGGGAAGCTGGTAGGGTCATCGACGAGAGAAGATGACAGGGTAACAGGACAAGTTGACAAGGTCATCGACAAAAGAGGACGGCAGGGTGACAGGGCCATCGACGAAAGAGGATATAGCAGGGTGACAAGATGACAAGTTGACAAGGTCATCGACAAGAGAGGCTGGCAAGGCTGGCAGAATCATCGACATCAGAGTTTGGCAAGGCTGGCAGGGTCATCGACAACAGAAGATGACAAAAGTAACAGGACAACAGGGTCGAGAGAGCGAGCGAGCGAGCGTCTCAACTCCGTTACCTGAATAAGCACCCCGACTGGCGTCTTCTCCGGCCTGGATTCCGACCGCCGGGTTGATAGGCTGAGATTCCTGCAGCGGCGGCGGCGGGTTTCATCTTGTCGCTTTCTCCTCCTTCCTCCTCCTTCTTCTTCTTGGCTTTTTTCCTGTTTTCTTCCTTCGTCATCTTTTCGTTTGCTTTTTCTGTTTTTTCTTTTTTTTCTGATCTTCATATATTTTTTTCCATTTGTTGTTGTTGTTATTGTGGATGTTGCTTTTCCTGTTGTTATTGTTGTTGTTGTTATTGTTGTTGTTGCTGTTGTTGTTGTTGCTCTTCTTCTTCTTCTTCTTCTTCCTCTTCCTCCTCCTCCTCCTTCTCCTTCTCCTTTTTCTTCTTTCTTCTTGGTTTTCTCTCAGTTTTCATTTCCCTCTTCTTCTCAATCTCAAGTTTTCTTTTTTTATTTCAATTTCTTCTTTTTCTCCATAATCTTAAACATTAATTATTCAAATAAACACCCGAGGAGGAGGAACAGAAATAAATTTATACAATCAGATAAATTTTCTATCATACATATGTACAGATAAATACATGAACAAATAACAATAGCAGAGACGATTAAGAAATATTCGTCAAGTGGATATAATTAGTTATCATAATTAGACAGAGAAGAAGCTATTAATTATTATCATATTGAATGTTAGAATGTAATTAATATGCAAATTTATGATATGATACCCATAAGAAACCAGTGACGCAGAATCAAATATGTGTACGAAGATTAAAAAAAGGTAAATAAATAGATAGATAGATAGATAGATAAGATAGCAAAAATAAATAAATAAATAAAAAATAAAAAATAGAAAATAAAAACAAAAGCCAAACAAAAACAAAAGAGGGAAAACTGTCCTTAATTCCAACAAACAAACAAACAAACACAAAGACACAATTACGGCACGAATAGACACGTACAGACAAATAGACACAAACCGACACATATTAACAATCATAGCCAATGCCAGACAGAGAGACAAGTATTGCCAAGTAAGGCGCCTTAAACCGACTCGTTATTTTTGCTTATCGTATCTGGCATCACTGTCGTCTTTGCTATGCACGCACGTCGGATGTCATGCTAACGAAATGAGACACGCATTCCCTTAGCATGACGTGGAGCGAAAATAAAAGGAATACGTGTGTGTGTGTATTGTGTGTGTGTGTGTGTGTGTCTGTGTGTGTGTGTGTGTGTGTGTGTGTGTGTGTGTGTGTGTCTGTGTGTGGTGTGTGTGTGTGTGTGTGTG